CTTTCTTCGCGCTTGCTGCCGCTTCGAAAGTAACGTCACGAATCTCCCGCGAAGCGGCGATCCTCGGACGTCGCGGCCTCCGGAAGGCCATGCAGCAAGGCGGTTGCTGCGGCGATGTTCTGGCTGGCTCGGGCAAAGTGAGGAAGGGCCCCATCGTCGGTGAGGATCCTCCGATGTACGGTGCGGGCCGTGGCGCGCGCGCGCCCCCCGTCTTTGCGGCGTTCAATCTCGCGATTGATGTCCGTGTATTCCCGGGCGAGCCCTTGCCCGGCCTCATCGATCTCTTCTGACGGACCCTCAGCTGCTCCATCCTTAGGCGAGATGGGACTATCATCTCTTCCCGGATCTGCTTTCGTCGGGTTGTTTGTAGGGTGACCTCTTCCCTGAGGCGCTTTCGGCGTGACCTTCGAGGTCTCGTGTCATGAAGCACTCGGGGAAGGGTGGTGGCTCCCCTTTGGAATCCGAGCTAGAGAACGATCCGGCTCCTCGTTGAGGAGCCCGTAAAAGGGTCTCCGTATCATGTTCAATCGCCCCCACGAACTTGATGTCCGTGGGTGACTAAACCATCCGTGGCGCCGTAAGGTGGCTAGCCATCGCCGCAGGCGTTACGGAGACCAAAACGGAAACGCTTGTCGGGCGCTCCGTCACGGGACCTTCTGGACATAGGGTGACGTTAGCGAGACCTCCCTTGGTGACCGGACTCCCGTGGAGTTGCCAGGCCGGGCCCTCAAGCCTAAGACGGTTGAGGTTGATGGAAGGAGAGAGATGGGGCGCGAGTGAGTCAGCCGCCAACTCTCCTTCTAGTGTGATGACAAAATCTAGGTCGCCGAAACGCACGTGTGCGCCCGGGACCCAGGTGATTGCATGGATGGCCATCCGAGGCCTGATTTGGAACGCGCAAGTTCCCCTACCTGGCGGGCCAACTGTCGGTGTTTCGTACAAGCACCGGCAAGTAAATTTATAGTAATACGTGTTAGGCTCGGATGGTGCGCTAAAGGACACAAGATTTATACTGGTTCGGGCCGAAAGTCCCTACGTCCAGTTTGTTGCTGCTCGTGTTATTAGCACCGTGAACGGTTTGCAGTAAGGGGTACAAACGATCGAGAGAGGGACTGGTCCCAAGTCTCTGATGGAAGGGTTGAAGGGATGTCAAGAGGTTCGACACAACTTGACTGTGTGTATCTGAGAGTCGTATCGTTTGATCTTTTTTCTCTCCCCTTTTATGGAGGAAGCGCATCCCCTTTTATAGATGAAGGGGCTGGCTTTACAAGGGTGAGGGCTTTAGGATGCGTACTCTACTTAGTCTTGTGGCTCACGTCTACCCGGCCCGGTTCTTCATTCTGATGAGTGCGAAGGAAGATAAGCGCCTACAATACTGTCGATGTCTCTGTAGAATGTCAGGTTGGTTACAGAATGCTACCCTGCGCAGGGTATGGGCCGCAGTACAGTGGTTTTGACTTTTGAGCCTCCCCCAGCCTTGCTCCGCACGCCTTCTGGTTCCTATGAGTCTTCGCCGGAGGGACGCGGGGGTCGGGTCTGGAGTAGCGCCGTGGCTAAGGTCTTCGTCTTGGTGGACCCGAGGGGTCGGGAAGCGGGCGCCGCCTCCCTTGGGTCCACAGCGTGGTGACAAAATATCCGTGCTTAAATGGAGATAGCAAATCCTTTTATGGAGCGTAGTGGTTGTCGTATATCTTCGTCGGTTCCGTGTCCCAGAGCTGAAGGCGGCGCCTACAACTCTGAGGTGGAGAGCTCACACTGTGACACCTTTCGGGCTCTGCGGGCGCTGGAAGGGTCCTAAAGCGCCTGTCCCCGTCATCCCCGGCAGCATTTTTTTTCCCGCCATGGTGCGAGGTATGGTTCTTGGAGCCACGATTGACTGAACGTCTTGTCTTGCCCTGTCTCTATCATCTTGAAGGAACAGGGAGAAGTGGTCGTAAAGATGAATCCAATCTTTAGATATGGAGCGAGTGAGGCTCGTTCCTTGCCGTCGAGGCGGCGGAGACCAATCCCTATGTCTGGCGAGACCGACCTGCTCCCTCCGGGGTCAGGCGAGGCGGAGTCTATCCTCTCAGCCCTCGGGCGAGACCGAGCCCGCCCTAAAAGGCGTCAAGGCGAGACGGAGACTAGCCTGTGCCCTCGGGCGAGGCAGAGCCACATCAAAGGCGTCAGGCGAGTCGGGGTTTATCCCTTGGCCTTCGGACGAGATCGAGCCCGTCAAAAAGGCGTCGGGCGAGACGGAGACTAATCCTCGGCCCTCGGGCGAGACCGAGCCCACCCCAAAGGCGTCGGGCGAGATGGAACCAAGCTCCTGTCATTCCCGTGAGGGGTGAAGCAACGCTCTTATGCGTCCAGAAGTTTTTAACGTTCGGTGGTTATTGGTTCCACCTTCTGGGGTACCCCGGTATTAGGTCCCCGACACTATTTGTGTATCTAATGAATTCTATTTGATAGTGGAGATATTTGTATATTTCTTATAAATCCAGTTAAGGTTGAAGAAGCTTAACTTAGCATGCAAAGCTAAAACGACTTGCAGTCCAGAACGAGGGCGTACACGAGAGACTGCAGCAAAGGAACCTTCCACGCACACGAGTCCTACGATCTTAGATGCGGTCTCGAGTCAGACACGCACAGGCACATGAAAGCATGTGTTCCCATGTCAATGCTTCTATTCGCGCAAAACCCCTGCACAAAAACCATTAAATTACACTGACACTGAACAGACAGATCGCACCGGAAACCCCATTTTCCAAGCGTTTACTTGATCAGCTGCAAACTGACCAGAATCCATCCCATTCCCATGTACAGTAGGCAGCAGGCACCCTCTGACCTGACTCCAAAGATTTGCCCAAGGTGTCAAACCGACCAATGGTGTCAAAAAACGAGCCATGTTAAGAGTGTTCGACAGTTCGTACACTGCCCAGCTGAATTATGAAATTGCAAGTCAAACGAGGACACGCACGACGTCCTGCCTCGATCGATGGCGAGCTGCAGCACGCCCTCGATGCAAGTGCCCCGATCACATGGCATCAGATTCTGCTGCTGCGTCCATCACCATCTACTGGGCTTGTTTAGATCTATCTGCCACTGGATTCTCACTCATCGTAATTAATAAGTTAATTACTGAAGGTGAATTTCTTAATTGTCGGCAATGCTCGAGTATATAACGACGACGTACCATTAGGCACTGGACATCGCCAGCATTTCTTACACAGCTAGGCTAGTAGCTCTAGCTTTGCTGGAACATACGTACGAACACACTGGTCGTCTTCACCATGGAGTTCACCTCAAGAAGCCGTCGGCTCTCGTGCTGCCTCCTCCTGGCAGTGTGCGCCGTCGTCCTACTAGTGCCGGCGGCGGCCGCGCCTCGCCGGCTGCTGCAGACGTGCCCGGGGCAGGACTTCGACGTGCCCCACGCGCACCTCCGCGCGCGGAACAACGTGAAGCCACTCAAGTACACGGAGGAGATCTCCACCCGCGCCCTGCAGTGGGCGCTGCAGTTCAAGGGCAACTGCGCGGTCGCCGCGCCCGCGGACGGCATCAACGTCTTCCTCGGCGAGGCCGGCGCGACATGGCTGCCCAGCGACGCGGTCGCCGCGTGGGCCGAGGAGGAGGAGCACTACGACTACGGCTCCAACTCCTGCTCCACCGGCAAGGCGTGCGGCCGCTACACGCAGATGGTGTGGCGGGACAGCAAGGAGTTCGGATGCGCCATCGTCCAGTGCGACTCCGGGGACACGCTCATGGCGTGCCACTACGAGCCGCAGGGCAACGTCATGGGACAGAAGCCGTTCTGATCGCCGCCCGCCGGCCATCACCGGAGCGCCGGGAGCTACCATACCGGCAGTGCGCGTCCATGGCGCCAGTATACCACACCGTTTCTAGCTAATCATGTTTTTTCGCTGTCTTGCATTTCTTCTCATACTGCATACCTACAGGCTACAGTAGCTAAATATTTGTTGGGAGTTCAGTTTATTAGAGATGATATGTATGCCATGAGAGTGACGAGCATATAGGTTTGTCCTCCTTTGTTTTGTTCATGGCACAATCAAATTTGTCTCCTCCTATGACAACTACTTTTAAATTCGTTATTATTATTACTGCTGAATTTGCTTGTGTTCAGATCATGCATGTTCTAATGATAAGCTGACCAAACTATGCCACACGCACAAGAATGTACAAAAGAACTCTGTAACTGTAAGGATTTCAAAAAACAAAGAAGTTACACAGGATTTAAAAAAAGAGAGACAGAAAAGGATTTGAAAAAACAAAAATACAGAAGTAGGATCACAAATCATATCAGCTCGATATTTTTTTCTCGAATATGTCAGCTAGATCTTAAAAATATATTTGCAAAACTGGAAAGTTAAACAGGAGCTCTGCATATATAAACCAAGCTCTGAAGTTTATTCAGAAATCTAAGTCACAAAAAAAAAGTTTATTCAGAAATCTTCGTTCTATAAAGACCTATTGGGTGGACTGGCCCAGAAGGCCCACTTGTATCTGTCAACTTTGGCGGCATGGGATGGACCTCAAAAGTGGGCCCAATTGCAGCCCACAAATTTGCATCACGCAGCCAGGGTAGTTCTTGCGACAACTGACGACAAGTGAAATCAGAAAAAATACACGGTGCATAAAGTGACTAGTTATAAAAAAAAGTGACTGTAAAACCGCATCCTTATTCTGACCGTGGCACTGATCAAAGCCAGATTGTTGCAGCACGCCGTAATAACATCAAAGCAAGAACATGATTTACGGGAGGCCAACAGTGAAGCACTTTTTTTTAACGTAAGTCAGCGGGGAAACCCAACTTATTTTTCTATATATAATTCTTTATTTCAGGCCTGTTTAATTCGCTCCATGAGCCACGGCAGGTCTGCTAGATGAGGCCCTTTCGCAACAACAGTGAAGCACTCGACTGAATTTCCATCATCTTCACCGAACCACCGCAGAATATTTACACACAAGCCTGTGACCAACTCTGATCTGAGCTAGCTAGCCGCCTAGTACGGCCTCTCGCCGACGACGTTGCCGGGCGGGTAGTAGTTGCAGGTGATGAACACCCCGCCGCCGTCGCACGCCACCCGGGCGCACCCCACGGCGGTGGTGCGTCGCCACACGATCTGGGTGTAGTGCCCGCACTCCCTGCCGGGCGCGCACGCGTTGTCGGCGTACGAGTAGTCGGCGCCCTCGGCGGCCCAGTCGGCGATGGCGTCCCGGGGCCGCCACGCGCCGCCGGGCCCGCCCCAGAAGACGTTCTCCCCGAGCGCAAACTGGCCGTCGGGGAAGGAGTGGCGCAGCGCGCAGTCCCCGCGGCGCTGCGCCGCCCACCAGCGCGCGTACGACGCCAGGCGCGGGGACCACGCCAGCGGCGGCTCCAGCGACGCCAGCCGCACCAGGTTGTGGTAGTAGAGGAACTCCAGCGCGTCCGCCCACGCTTCGCAGCCCGGGCACAGCGCCGCCGAGGCGACGTACGCCGTCGCGTTGCGCGCGTACGGAGGCGGGTGGCCGTGGCCGTGCAGCAGGCGGCGCGGGGCGGCCGCGGGCGCCAGGCAGAGGAGGGAGCAGCAGAGGAGCAGAGGCGCCAGCAGTGGCTTCATGGTGGTTCACTGGTTCTTGGTCGATCTTAAGCTGCGTGGTGGCCGTGGGATTTAAGACAGCGCGCGTGGCCAATGGCGATGCCGGGATCAGTCGTTGGCTTGTCCATGCCACCCGTGAGTCGGCGAGTGGCAGTTTGTCGTCTTGGGTTCATAAAAGACGAGCAGGTTGAGTGCTGGTGCTACACTGCTACGCTACGGCAGCAGATTTTTTTTTCCTGGTACGAGTACGAACCCAGCTGAACATAGGAGTAGCAGGCCGATGGACTCGTGACCTCGGATGGATGCTGGTTCCAGATGCTTCCGTGTGTTCACGAGTCTGCAAAGGGGAGCGGTCGCGTCCGGCTTGAGGATCTCCGGCGCGAGGAGGTCTGGCCCGCAGCTGGAAAAGGATGCCATTCTTGGGGAAGACGGCGTCCCGCCGCCGACGGTGCCAAGGAACACGATCGTCGCAACGGGGGACGCTGCTGGTTTTGATGTAGTTGTTGTTCTTCTCGGCAGCGGGACGACGAGGATGGCTCCAGCTCCTCCGGCAAGTTTTACGGGTTCTCCTTTAGCTGCTCGACCGTTCACGCCAGGGCTGCAAAACACGTCGCCTACGTAGACTAACCATATCTCCCTCGAACGGAGCTGCGTGCCAGCGTGGTGGAGCCAGGAAGTTGATTTTTTTTTTAATGTTGAGCTTGTTCGGCTGGACTAGAATCCAGCTTGATCGGCTTGTTTTTCTAGTCGAGATAGTATTTTTCTCTCACAGAAAATCAGTATAAACATTAAAAATTAGCATAAACAGTAGAAATTTCAGTCTAGCCGAACAAGCCCGTTAGAGGCAGGGCGAGGCAGAGGGCCCCTGCCTGCCCCCTATCTCCGCCCCTAGAGGGAAGGTGTCACCGTTGCCGAGTACATTGTTCGCTGGGAACTGGCGGTTGATGATTGACGCGCCGACCGTCAGGATCCTTGGTGCAACGTTGACGATGGTGAACTCGCTATGGTCAGAGTTGCCCGAAGAGGCAGAGACGACAATGCCCGTGCGAACGACACTGAACGCTTCCACTGCCGTGCACTGTAAAACTAGGAGCCTTGCTGATGGCATCGAGCGAGACTGAGATGACGTTGAACTCGTCCTTGATGGACACATCAAATGCCATGAGGATGTCAGAGAACGCGCACCATCTTGTCCACCATGCCTTGTAGGTAGCAATGTTGGCCCATGGTGCCTTGCCGATGGTTGTACTTGTACCTTTGGCGTAGTCGAAGAAGGCGGCGGCACGACAGAGCCTAGTGCCATGGACGAGGTGTGTCGTGTGCGTACAGTGGCCATTGTTGGCCATTGTTGTCGAGCGGCGATCTTAGAGTCTGTCTCGTCAATCGCCCCGCTGTGCCCGGCCTCATACCCTAGGCCAAAGAACTTGGCGCCGACCAACTTGTTGTTGCAGACTTGTAGTACTCGAGGCGTTGAATGCCGACGTTGAGACGCATCAACCGTAGAATGTGCTGGGTGGCGGTGGCGGAGACGGGTCCGCCCGCGGCGAAGAATGCACGGTCCTTGGGGTATACGCTGATATTGATGGCACCAATCACAACGTTCGTGGTGCAGTTGGATGCCGGAACAGGAAGGGTGGTGTTATAATGGTGCGCGACTGTTGCGTCTAGCATGACCGCAAGCACGGACCAGACCGCGAGCATGGAGCGCCACTAAATCATATTGTGCTTTGATATAGGAGATATAGTTTCCTAGGAAACACAGTGGGGGCACATGCCCCCTCATTGTGTAAGCAAGGCACATCTGTATTTGTATGGTGGTTCGTACATAGTCTGTCCGATTATTTTCCAATTTTAGCTTTATCGTAAATTGGTGATATCCCTATCTATCTATCTATCTATCTATCTATATTGCGCATGATGAACTCGCCAACAGCGTAATAACCGACACCCAGGACCAGCAACCGTTTAATCAGGTCGAGTGTTGGGCCGATGAGCATGGGATGTAGGCCCACGCTCTTCTCATCGGGCCACGTGATTGGAGTGGGGGCTGTTTGAGAGAAAGCCCAAGATCGTCTGAGATATCTTTTTTTTTTTTGTAAGGAGACTTTTTTCTCGAATACGCAAAATGTTTGCACATCTTTATATTAAGATCGAGAAAAAGTGAAAGTTACAACGACGCGCCACGAACATGGCACACTAGGGTGGGGGTGTTAGTGTTATACAATCGGCTCTGCCCTCCCTAGCATAAGAAGATCATGGGCTATTACTCGCTACTCATACTATGTAGCCATCATTGGCAATCAGATGCGATGGCGTGCACGGTGCCTCGGTCGCTCTCTCTATGGGTCTAGGAAGAGCTATCGCATAGCCTCAGCATGCGAGAGGTTGAGCTGGTCGACGAAGATGTTGTCGTAGGCGTCCTTAGACGCCGTGGAAGGCCTCGTCTGCACATCAAGGTAGCCCATCCGCTTCATCACCAGCACCTCTCCCCGCTCTGAAGTCGGGACGCGTGAAAGCGCCTGAGCGGCAATCCTCCTGCTACGAGTCGGCAACTTTGATTGTACCTCCACATCTGGCAAAGGCAGCAGCGGTGACGACACCTTACGCAGGATCTTTGCGGTGAACCGCTTTAACCTCTTGGTGGCGGAGCTCCTGCGTTCTTTAGGAGGTGTGGTCGTGTTCGCGGCGGGGGGGATGGCACTGATGCTTTGTGGGCGCACCTCGTCATCCACGACGGCGGGCTGCCCCCTCTCGGTGAGGTGGGGGTGGCCGCGTCCTCGCCTAGGTGTATGTTGTTGGAGCACGCCTCGGCCTCCACGCCGTGTCCCGCCGGCTGTGGGGTGACTGGTGGCTGCCCCTGCCCCATAGGCGAGCCCGTCCAAGCCCTCGCGAGAGAGCTAGTGTCCACCAGTGATGCTACCTCAACTTGAGGAGCAGTCGTCGTGGCGGGCGGACACCCGGGCACTGGTGCTTCTGGTGGCCAACCCACGACGCGCGAGGCGGCGAACTCCTCCAGTATTTGGGTTGACCCACTCGTGAGGCCCCGTGCTCACGCACAGCTCTAGCGCCAGTGGATCTGGCATGTGGAAGGTAGTGTGCGGTGGCAAAGGTAGTAGCGTTGTCGGCGGAGGCGGCGGGTGCATCCATGCTAGTGTCGCAGGGCGGCTTGTTTTTGCACCGCCAATGTCGTCGCCGGCTCCTGTCGGCGCCACCCGCAGCCCCGACCGAACCCAACGGGCCGCCGTGGGGCGTGTCTTGGGGGGCGGTGGCTCCTCTCCATGAGTAACGCCACACTTCACCATCGTTGTCGCAATAGGCCTGATCCTCCTTCAGTCCTTAGCGATGTGGCCGAAGCCGTGGCAGCGGAGACAACGCCGTGGCAACCAGCAAGTCGCTACTCTGTGCGAGTAGTAGAGACAGTTGAAACATCTATCATGAAGCTCTGCAGGGAGCCTCTGGGCCGGCGGGAGCTGCTCTTGGTGAGGCTCAACCGAGGCGGCCACATGTCGCGTCTCTTGCCGGGGGAGGATCTCCCGCCACCCATCAGCGTTGGGAGCGGAAATCCGTCCGCGCCGGCCGAGGCGTTGGCGGGCAGGGACGCGGCCCTCCACTGGCCGAGCAGGTAGGCCACACACCAGCTAGGGACGCGGCCATTTGTGACTCCGCCGGCTTCGTCCATGTCCCTGTCGTCCCGTGTCCGCTCCGCCATGACCCAGAACCACGATTGAGCGAATCTGAGCGCGCGGCGGGGATGCGGTTACCGGCTTTGCCGGTCGACGCACAACATCTAGGTAGGTCGGGGGTGGTCATCGTCGGACTCCTCACCGTCGTCGTCCGCCCACCGACGATGCTTCGTGCGCCCTCCTGAAGGCAGGTAGAACGGAGCCGCGTTCGGCGAGAGCGTGGATCCTGGCGTTGAAGGCGCTCCCGTGTTGCATCCCACGGTGGTGGCCCCAACGCTGCTGGTGGCCGCAGCTGTGTTGCCCGCGACGCCAACGGCGTGGATGGGGTGGTGACGGAGCCTGGCCTCGGCGGCGGCGGTGGCATGGAGGTCCGCGGATGGACTAGAGCGCCGGATCCCGTGGGGACGGCCATGAAGCAGCTGCTGGCGGCGGTGGCGTCCATAGCGGCGGCTTCCGGTGTCGACGACGTGGGCGCGTCGTTAGCGTTGGCGGCGACGTCTGCTCCGAAGCAAAAGGGGCGGGCCCCACGGAGAGGAGGCGGCGGCCGCGCGGCCTTCCCGTGAGCGTCCGAGGCGGCATTCGAGGCAGCTCAAAATAGGTCGCACGGCTGGAGGCGCCCGGAGCCGTCAAAGGGGGAGGAGGGGGCCACCGGAGCCGGGACGCCGGCCGGTGACGGAGTCGCGCATCGCCCAGGCGCGGAACTGGGGCCTGAGGATGCGGCGGAGGCGGAGGCAGAGGCAAAGGTGGTCGGGGAAGGAGCAGGAGGTGGAGGGAGGGGGAAGGGGTCGCCGGCTCCGGAGCAGCGACCGGCGGCGGCGGTGGCGTCGCCGTGGTGAGCACCAGTACGGTGGAACCCTAACGGTCCGCTCCCCCTTGAAAAGTTGTGTCGGCCCCCTCTACCATACGGGATATCTTATCTGTAGGGAGACATTGGGCACTGGCTTTTTGGTTGTTGAACTGGCCGCACGAGGCCAGGAACAGACTGGGTGACACTATGGCACAATCACAGAAAGACAGACGCGTTGTGTTGTGCCCCCGGTACTACGTACGAGTACGTGCGTGCAAATCACCCTCACTGCCTCGCGCATCTCCTCTGCCATCGGAATTTTGGATGTACGTACGTATGCAACACTGCCAGTCTGCCACCACCTGTATTATTTTTTTATAGCCAGACGACAATCCGATCGTGAAGAGCCCAGTTCTCGGGGAGCCATAGCCATGCATTGCCTGGATGAAATCAGGTCGCAGAGCTTGTCGCGTTATGCAAGCAGTCAAGCACGCACGCGGCAGGCGGCACGCGGCCAAATTCCCTGCCTCCGCAGACCTGCGGTGCATCTG